GCCCACAATTTAGTTTTAAAAAAATTGCAAATGTGTCTAATGTAACCATAAATACATTAATGGTTTAAAATTATTTTTTTGTTTAATTGCAACCGATAAGCTGGCCATAACCCATATGCAAGAACAATGTTCCTGTATGCAAATAAATAGAACTTGCTTAGGATGCACACATGTTTAGGATGCACACATGTTTAGGATGCACACATGCTTAGGATGCACACATGCTTAGGATGTACACATGCTTAGGATGTACACATGCTTAGGATGTACACATGCTTAGGATGTACACATGCTTAGGATGCACACATGCTTAGGATGCACACATGCTTAGGATGCACACATGCTTAGGATGCACACATGCTTAGGATGCACACATGCTTAGGATGCACACATGTTTAGGATGCACACATGCTTAGGATGTACACATGCTAGAATGAATGCATGTGACATGTTTTTGCTTATTATTAAACTTGTGTAGTATTTTTTATGTTCCTCACCAAGGGCTTGAAACCTAGTAAACTTAATACAATTGTTAAATAAATACGATATTTCATGGTCACCCATCGGATATTCTCTATATATACACATATTCTTACTAATGTGATTTGATTGGTCTTTTATAGGTTCTCTATGTTGTCTCACTTCTTCTGGGTGCTGTGGGCCATAATCCAGGGCAAGAAATCCCAACACAAGTTTTGTCATTTGGTAAGTCTTGTTGGATAATAATACACTGGTAGATCTTCAGTCAGTATGAAGCTACCTACAAGATTGTGCCTGATTGGCTACCAAACCCTGACAACTAACAGTCGGACCAATCAGAGAGTAGCTTGCTGCCAATGTTTGTTGGTTTACACATGTTTGTTTTTCTCTGTAGTATTTTTTCAAGATAGTGACAATGCAAGTTGTAGTTTTTTGGCCCCAACTGAATGCAGTCTAGGGGCTTATGAAGCACATAATCTCAACCTGTCTATTTAGTCACTTGGTTCACATACAGTTGTGTTCTAGCACTTCAATGAAAGTTAATTTGTGTCACAATCAAATCCTTGATGATTACCGGTAACCGCAACCCATTTCGTTTGACGCAAATTGTCTATTTTCATCTCTTTTTACACAACTCACTGTTCAATCAGGTCCACTGTTGGTTTACAGTCGGTTGTGTTTGAGCACATCAAAAAAGTTTATCTGTGTCGTGATCCAATCTGAGATGAGCGACAGGGTAGACATTTGATTTTACTTACACATGTTAAATTGTTTGACAGTTTGTTCAACATCATACAACATGCACATGCACTTGTAAAAAAGAAGCATGTGAATGCTGAAATTTGATTGGCAATATTGAATATTATACACCATGGTCTGCTTCATTACAACAGTCTGTCCAATCAGTGATTCCAGTAGTAGAGATTGGCTAATCATATTAACCTCTATACTGTAAATCGTTTTCCTTCATAAGAGAAGAAAATTGTGTAATTTTGTAGCAGTTTAATCTAAACGATTTACAGTATCTTGTCTGTGTCTGTGGATTTTTTGACGATTTGAATCTGAAAAGCAATGCACTAAAAGGCTTTATGCTTGGCTTATGGTGTAAAACATTTTCGTAACTCACAGTGTACGTCTGTCTCTAACATTGTCGTCGTACTTGTTGTTAACTTACAAGATACAGCTGTAATTGTATAGACTGTTCTGTCACTCTACTTTGATACTTTCCAATATGCTGGGATTAACATTGTGATTGATTTAAAAGGTTATGTTTCAAGCAGTGTGTTTAGTAAAGTATGTTAAATTTTTATTTCAGCACAAGTTCCAACAACCTGTTTTAATATCCCTTCTGGTAAGTATTTGTGTAAGGCTGTCAACATACTGCTCAAATTTACTAAGTGTTCAAAACGTCATAAAAAAGGCGCCGCCAATTAAAAACTTACACGCCAAATTAAAAAAGTTGAGGTGCAAAAAATAAAACCCGCCAACCGTATTTTCTCTAAACCACGCCCACTGACGAGAAGTCATACAAAATGGAAACTGCCAGAGGTCACTCGTTCCGAATGCCTCTTTGAGAAAATCAACTCCAATATTGACCACGAGCTAGAGAAGTATGTTCCTTCTCTGCGAAATTATGGATATACCAGTTTTCGTGTAATAACGGCAGAAGATATTCGGAAATTTTACCAGGAATTCCATCAGGTCACAAGTAACTCCCTACTTTATGAAGCAGCCAAGTTACGTACAGCAATCAAGTTGAACTTTATAATGCCTATGTTACATCGTTTAACGAAGACAGTGCTGGTAATTTAAAATGTCAAGCAGTTTCTACACATATCCCCACAACAAAACGCAAACATTGTTCACCAGACAAGACCACTGCTACGTATTCTGACAGTGCACCACGCCAATGTAAAAAACATACAATCGCCCGTCTCTCCAAAAATCACATCACATCACATCACATCACATCACATCACTCCAGTTCTTGTCACGAGAAGTATGTGTCATTAATCAAACGAATCAAAGCCGATAAAGAAATCTCTTCAATGTTTCGATCAACTCTAAGTCACCATCCTCAAGTTATGGTAATATCCTCTGTTGCCTTGCTTGCTCTGCATAATAAACTTTGCCATATTTTGCGAACCCCCTTGTCGTGAAACAAAATTTTTCTGCTATTTCACGGAAAAAAGAAAAATGAACAGTGATCGGATCACCGCCACACAATATAATTTCGTTAACAATCGTGTTTTTTACCTCTGCTGATGTTTTTGACCCTCTCTGCAGCAGTAACGGTATTAGCCATATTCTTGGCATTTGACATTGAATATCGTGAGAAGCAACGCAGGTAAACTTATTTATTCTGTAGGCATTGGTTGGCCGGTTAACTTATTTTTCGCGCGTTGTTACAGTTAATAAAAAGATTGTGCAACGTGCACCATCGGTGGCTTCTTTTTTATGACGTTTTGAATTTGAATTTGAGCAGTATTGTTGTTGTCCGTCAGTGCTGTTATTACAGTGTTGTTATGGTTATCTCCATTGATGCTGTTACAGCCGTCTCTGTCAGTGCTGAACAATATGACGATCCCCATCGATGTTGTTATGACGATCTCTATTGGTGTTAGGACAATCTCCATCAATGTTATTGCGTTGTCCATTAATGCTGTTACAGTGATCTCTATCAGTTCTGAAGATTATGGCAATCTCCATCAGTGTTGTTATGGCAATCTCAATCAGTGTTATGGTAATCTACATCAGGGCTGTTATGAAGATTTTCATCAGTGTTGTTATGGTGATCTCCATCAGTGTTATGACGATCTCCATTGGTGTTATGGTGATCTTCATCAGTGTTATTATGGTGATCTTCATCAGTGTTGTTATGACGATCTTCATCAGTGTTGTTATGGCGATCTTCGTCAGTGTTATTATGGTGATCTTCGTCAGTGTTATTACAATCTCTAGCAGTGTTATTGCGATGTCCATTAATGCTGTTATCTCCGTCAGTGCTGAAGATTAGGGCGATCTCCATCAGTGTTGTTATGGCGATCTCCATCAGTGTTGTGGCAATCTCAATCAGTGTTGTTATGGCAATCTACATCAGGGCTCTTATGGAGATTTTCATCAGTGTTATTATGGTGATCTCCATCAGTGTTGTTATGGTGATCTCCATCAGTGTTGTTATGGTGATTTCCATCAGTGTTATGGAAATCTCCATTAGTGCTGAACATTATGGCAATCCACATCAGTGTTAATATGGCGATCTCCATCAGTGTTATGGCAATCTCCATCAGTGTTATGGCGATCTCCATCAGTGTTGTTATGGTGATCTCCATCAGTGTTATGGCGTTCTCCATTAGTGCTGAACATTATGGCAATCCACTTCAGTGTTAATATGACGATCTTCATCAGTGTTGTTATGGCGATCTGTATCAGTGTTATTGCAATCCACATCAGTGTTAATATGGCGATCTTCTTCAGTGTTAATATGGCGATCTGTATCAGTGTTATTGCAATCCACGTCAGTGTTAATATGACGATCTTCATCAGTGTTGTTATGGCGATCTGTATCAGTGTTATTGCAATCCACATCAGTGTTAATATGACGATCTTCATCAGTGTTGTTATGGCGATCTGTATCAGTGTTATTGCAATCCACGTCAGTGTTAATATGGCGATCTTCTTCAGTGTTAATATGACGATCTTCATCAGTGTTGTTATGGCGATCTGTATCAGTGTTATTGCAATCCACATCAGTGTTAATATGGCGATCTTCATCAGTGTTATGGCAATCTCTAGCAGTGCTGTTATAGAGATTTTCATCAGTGTTGTTAATGCGATCTGCATCAGTGCTATTATGGCAATCATAAATCTACTAACCTGTAAATATTTTTCAGTTAAGCTCATTACATCCTACAATTGTTGCTCAATGAAGTTAACATATTACCGGTATGTTTATGTTTGCAGGATTATGCGCAGACGAGGATTGAAGCGTACTTTGAAGTAAAGAATCAAATTACATTATAAAACCACATAGATGTGCCAATTGAAACTTCATTCATGGTATTTGGACCAAGATAGCCCGTAATTATAAGTAATTACAGATTGTAAAGGAAACAGAAACTATGACAAATCATCTTCAAGAGCATTATAATTTGAGTTCCCAGTGTATGGCAGTTTTTACGTTTAAAAAAAAAACTGTTGTCAGTTCCTGGTGCTCATGTGTATATACATGGTTATATAAATGAAGATTTTTAGATTTATAAAATTTATAAGGCTGATAAAGGTATTTACTGTATTAATAGTGTAGAGAAGTGTGTCAGCAAACTGATCTTTTTATGACTGGTACAAGTTGATGTGCTCCTAATATGAATTCAGTATTGTGTATGCTATATTGTTTGCAACCTTTCAATGCAATATATTTCTATATTAACTTTCATGCTATGATTACTGTGAAATAATGTGATTACAGTCAGATATCCCACAATTCATTGCACAATAACTACCGAAGCTTACATTGTACAATATTGATTAGATGAATCCTGTCAATTGTGACCAAAATTGATTGATTCATTAATGTTTTATGTGAATCCTGAATCAAATAGCAGATTTGTAATTTTTTGTATCTATGCGTTTTACATGTATGCCATTTTGAAGATACTGTAAACCACTGATTGGATGGGTGTCTATAAAGACATTATTTGATGAGTCACTTCCTGTCTGAAGACCCTATATGAAAATCTTCCTTTGATATATAAAAGCAGTTGTATGGTCGGTTCAGTTTGGCATCTGCTTGGTATCTATCAGCTTTAGAAAAATATTTTATTCCCTGGCAGCATCATTCTTCAAAAAAAATGTTTATTTACACAAAATATTAAATGCAATTTTTTTTCTCCATCATTTAATGTATAATTAATATTTGTGTATATATAAACAACATATCATGCTTACCTTGTCTGCATCATTATAAATGAAGGTCATGGTATACGAGTGGAAAACGTCTGTCCTCGTTATTATTGTTCTCGCTGTTGTCATTAAACTTTTTTCTCAATTTTCATCCAATGTCTTTCAGACTTGGATATTATATTAACTAGTTAGGAATCTCAACCAGTTTAATTTTGGTTTGTTAAATTTTTCAGGATAATGGTAACATTTCACTTCTAGTTATTACAATAAAAACAATTTTTATGTGATCATTATTAAATTTTGAAAACAATTTTAATTACTTAAGAAATGTCAATCAAGTTTTATTTTGGTGTAACAAGCAAGTGCAATTTTCAAGATATGGGATCAAATTTGGTTGAAATAAAACAGTTGTTACGGTAGACGTAGAAATAAGGGGACAGAATGAAGTCAATTGTACTGATGATAATAAGAACCAGATGTTAGTTATGTGATTTCCAAGATTTGTCAGATTTATTTTCATCATGTATTATAAAGTGACAATGTACTTTTCCGTCAGTTCTGGCTAGTATTTATTTCGCCAGATTTTGCTTATAAATATATTACTGTACTAATATTTTGTAATTTTTATACAATTTATGTTATGTTATTCCATAAGAGACATTGAGATTAATGCATAACATGTAGTATTAATTGAGGAACATATACCGGTATATTAATTATTTTTTTATGTAGTTATGATGGCTTAGTTTTCTCGTCCAATTTTGGGCACAATTGTTTCTACCAAAATTTTAGCCCGTATTTTTCCACACAAAATGTTCATATATATTATTGCGTTATTTCTGGACTTTTACACTCACTTTTGCCATGGAGTTCAAAGTTCAAGTTAAGTCTCGTAAATCATTATCTCATTAAAAGTGGGTTAGAATAGATTTTAGAATTTTATGGGTTTTTGATTATTTTAAAAAAACAAAAAAAAAACAAATGGGTAATTATTATTGTGTATATCACTAAATAATACTGAATCTATATTTTCTGTTCTTTAATCTGTACTCATCGTCATACAACCATCATTTGTATTCTTATGTACAATATTTGTAAATAAACTGTCAAAATAATGAACTGTGTTTTAGTGAATTCTTTTAGCTACTTAATAATATACAATTGTTCCAGGTTACCCATGGATGTTGTCATTTTATGAAAATGTTTATATATGTAGATTAAAATGAGAAGTTGTGATTTCCTATTGAAATACTATTTTGTGTCGCCCTCTATGTACTGCCATGCTGATTGAACGACTCTGATGTCATTTTAAAATTGTATTCATCATCTGCAATAAAGGCACCAGATTCAGTTGTTGCAATTATGATTTGATTGCTGCATTTTACTGATATCTTACAGTTCAGTATTTAAGTACTGTAAAATACTTTATTTTTCTTTGACTTTGTCATCTTTGGCAACTTTTTCGACTTCTTGCATACTACAAATCTCATTGCTTTGATAATTGGTGCATGTGTACCTCGTGTAGACCTCACTTAGATTTGTTCATTTCATGATATCTTCAATTCTCTAATTTAGATGAATATTTTTGTCATTTTTGGAAAAAAGTGATAATTTCGACTTCTTGTTGGAAACCGAAAGGCTGATTACTTTGATATTATATATATAGGTACCACAGGTGGAGCTCTCTCAGATTTGTTCATTTCGTGATGATATATTCAATTCTCTAATTTTGATGAATATTTTTGTCATTTTGGTAAAAAGTGACTTGTTTGACATTCTGTTGAAAACTGCATGAAGGTACCTCATGTGGACCAATCTCAGATTTGTTTATTTTGTGATATTTTCAATTCTCTAATTGAAATGTGCATTGCTAACAGTGGAGCTATCATACCTCAGCCGAGAGTCTGCTTGTACATTCAACTAGTCAAAAGTCAGTAAAAGTAAAGTCCATTAAAAACAACCAAGAATCTTTTCAGTATACACGTAATTCTACAATTTTCCCAATTCTTTTACATTGCGCAGTCATTGTGGGCATTTATATTTAGTTGTTTGTTTTCACTCACACATTTTTTGAACAAGTATTTTTTCTTCCTAGTTTTAAAATTAGAAACCTCTTGGCTCTTGGATTGTGTAGTTTACAAAATACGGTCCACATTACAAAAAGCTCACAAGTTTTAGAAATGCCGTTGATTTTGTTTATATGATATCACCGTTGGTGGCGTTCTACCCATGTAAAATGTTCGGAAACTGCATACAACTACTAATATGATTGATATGAGAAGAAACAAGAAACTTCTTCAAAGTGCCATAACTACTCGACTTGACGTTGTATCGCTGCTGTGCGCATGTGCTGCGCGTCATAATACAGTGGGGGCGC